AGACAAGAGAAAGAGAGGAGTAGAGAATTGTTGTTTCTTCCATGTTTAATTTGCCTCTGCGAACTCTCTTCGACTTTAATTTATATGCTGGGAAGAAATGAAACGAGAGAGGGTGTAATGAGAGTGTTATATAGGAAATAACTGCAAATATCTGGAGCCTTCTTTCAATTGTGGAATAAAGTACGGGTGGACTTTTCCTCGTCCGACTTTCAACATGGAGCGTATATAATTACGGGTCTTTCTTGGCTTATTTCCCCTTTGCCCCTCTCTTTCGTGTTCTACATGACAAGCTCTTTTTGGTAGACTTTTACAAGCTTCTGTTCGGAAAAACAAAGAAATAGTATTTGAAAAGATTACAAAATTATCTAAAAAAATTTAAAATTTTTTGTAGTATTTATTATTGTTAATCAAATTCATGTATTTTTAATCTAAGTTAAATAAATTTTTATAATTAACTATTAATTAATTATTATTAATTAAAATATTACTTATTACATAGAAAATAAAAAATACTATATATCCATATCATTATATTATATCAACCTATCATGTTATTATTTATCTAATATATTATCATGTCACATAAATTGCTCATAATGTAAGTAACATCTTAACTAATAATTGTTAATCAATTATTAGTCATAATAACTTATTTAATTTAAAATAAAAATATAAGATTTTAAAATAATTGATATTTATTTAAAAGTTTCTGAATAGTTTAAAAACTTTTTAGATATTTTAACTTAAATAAATATTAAAATTTTAATGTTTAAATAAGAGATCTCCATATATGTGTATTTATTATTAAATTAAATATTTCTAATTATACCTAATTTTTTGTTTGCAAAATTGTAAAAAAAGTGGCTGTCGTAATATTTTATAAAAATTAATATAATAAAAAAGGTCGATGCTTGTCTAAAAAATATAAGATAAAATACCTTTATCTTTTAAATTTTGATCGAAATTACATAAAGATTCAGTAATTTTCGAAACGAATACTCTGTCTCAAAATTTTTTTTTTCGTTAGATACATAGATCCAGCTGTTAGTTAACTATTAGTAATTTTTTTCAACTTATTGATATAATAATAGTAAAAAATAATTTTATCTTTAATTAATTTTTATAATTAAATTATATAATTTTATTATTTTTTATTAATTAAAAAAAAAACTCCTCACTTGAGAGCACCGAAGCTCCCTTGGGGAGCTCGATTGAGGCTCCCTAAGGGAGCATTGGGTTCCCCATGGGGCCTTGGGAGCCCTGATTGGGCTCCCCTCCTTTGGGAGCATCGGTCTGTGCTCCCCTAGCAAGGGGAGTTGATCGGCGTTGTTTTTAATATAATAATAATTTTTTAAATTAATAAAATAATATATTTTAATTTTTTATTATTTTTATTAATAGTGTTTTTAGTCTTAGTACGAATTGTTTATTTTAAAAATTAATAAATTTTTACGTAATTTCAATTAAAATTTTAAAAAAATAAAGATATTTTATCTAAAATATAATAAGCCAATATAGAGTTGAGGCTATATATGATGTTGCCAATTAACCCAATAAAAGGGAGTTAGAACTAAGTTGATAAGATGAATGACATGTCATCATCTTTAGTAGGCCAACATTGAAGAAACAAAAAAACATTTTATACAAAAAAAATTAAAGATTTCATTAAAAATCTTATTTAGATTTGTATTTAAATTAAATATTTAATACGTGGAAAGTAGATCACTTTATAGAAATTTTAATTTATTGGAAGCACTTTGCACCGTTTGATTTGTGATTTTGCTGTAAATGTAATTTTACATGGATATCGAATTGCAATCGTGGTAGGGGAGGTGATTCCCTCTTGAATTGGACAGAATGTTACTTTCCCATGTTCAAACCCAAAACCACTACACACTATGGGTTTTATGGTTTTGGCGAAACTCATCAAGTTTTTACGCTGATTTTGTCTGGCCTCATAATGCATGACAGGACATAGGGACCAAGTCTAAGGAAGCTTGGGACAACTTTAAAAGAGAGTAGATTGCAAGCGAACAAGACTTTTTTATTGCTTAGGAAAAGCCTAAGAGTTCCTTTGTTAAGCTTAATGTTGATGGCAGTGCGAGATAACAACCAGGATTGGCAACAGTTAGAGGTGTAATATGAGATGCCAGATTCTTTGTTAGCCATTCAGAAGTTAACTAATAAGCATTTTATTGCTTTGGACCTGAATGCTCATCTCATCAAGCATATAAAACAGAAACTTCAGTTGCTTTGGGAGTGTTCAATTTCTCAGGTTGTTCATGAAGGCAATTAGTGTGTCAATTGAACGGCCACACATCATGAGAATTTACATTTGAGATTTAATATGTTGAGTTCACCTCCATTTAGTATCTATTCTCTTTTATTTGGGGACATTTTAGGTGTTGCTTAACCTAGAATGATGTAATAATTTCACTATGTATTTATTCTCATATATTTAACACACTTTTTTAAATCTAAAAAAAAAAGTCATATTAATTAAACATAAAAAATGTTTTCTTAATAATAACACATTAAATTTGTAAATTACATATATCCGAATTCGGATTCAAGTTCCTCTTTTCTAAAATAAAAAAAATATCCTGTTAATTTTCAATACAGATAACTCAATGTGTCATTTTCACAATTAGGTTAAATATCTTTTATAATTTCACTATTTTTATTTAATTTTAAATGTAAATAAAAAATTATTACAACAAAAACAACAACTAAAGTCAAGAATCAAGACTTTAAAATGAAGACCATGTTAAGAAGATTGTTTAAGAAATAACAAAAACAAAATTTAAAGAAATCAAGCTAATAGAATAGAATAATAATTTACTTGTTTTGAACTTTTTACCTGTGTTCAAGAAATAAAATAATTCTTTTATTATTAAAAAATTAAAATACAATACAATATCTCTCAATATCTTTTCAAACCAATTCAAAAATTTCATGTACACTCTCTCTCAACAATACCTTATTTGATTGACAAACCAAATATAAAATTAAACGAAATCTATATGACATTGAGACTTAAACTTGAAATTTTAAATTTAAATTATAATTAAAAATGGTTAAAATATGTCACTGTCTACACTATCAAGTCAAGGCATATATGTGAGTGTCTCAATCTCACTGTTCCTTATCTTTGCGAAAGTGGTCGTAATTAATGCCCCAAGAAATGGCCGCCGCCATGGCTACTAATCAATGTTACACAGCGTGCTCAACCAGGCGTCAGCGCTTACGTAATACTCTTCTAGCAAGGCAGGGACACCTCTCTGTGATTGAATCTTCCTCTCCTTGGACCATCAATTTCCACTCTCCTATGCTTCATTGCACAAACCCACCACTCCATATTTTTTGACCACATCTTCACGTGCTTCTGGGGACACACTCATAGCTTTTCCTTTTTCTTTTTGTAATTTTTAAACAAGATATATTTATATTTAATATTGTGTTAAATACTTTTTTTAAATTAAAAAAAGAAATTTAAATTTTATTTGAAAAAAAAAGTCATATATCAACTAATAAGTTAAGTATTTGAATACTAACATTAAGTTAAATACTTGAGTACCAGACATTTATAATTTGACATCATAATTATTCAGAGAATCATGTCTCTTCCCAACTTACATAATATGTTTCTATTGTGTTAGAGGTTGAGGATCTCACCATTTTTCTACTGTTGATGAACGTTGACCTCCTTTGTTTACATGTTGTTTTTGTAATTAGTGTTTTACTTTAAAGCAAAGAAATGTGTTTTCTTATAATATATTTTAAAGAATTGTAAATAAATATCCAAATAAAAATTTATTTAAATTTTTTAAAATATTTTAAGACTTTCTTTAGATATTATGCCATTATAAAAATTCTCCCACAAGTCAGATTTACAGAAATAAACAAAGCAATATGCAAGGTAGCTAGTGAAGGCAAAAAGAGGTTACACAATGCACTAATGAAAAGTGATGCTTTAATGTTTTTTCTACAAGTAATTTTTAGTTACACATTAAGAGGCAAACAGGTACTATATATATATTCCTACTCTTTCCGTCTCAAGATCCGAATCTAGGTTATTTATTATATATATTTTTAGTATGACAATTCACAGGTACTATATATTTATTATATTTTTTTGTACACATGAAGCCTCTATTGAAACTTAAGCTATACACATAACGAGAGATAACCCTTATTATTACACGTTGCACAAATTGTATTTACTGGAGAGTTGCTTAGAAACATAAGACCATGTTAAATAGTTCCGGTGAGAACCTTGTTGACAATGGGACGAGCTTTACACATGGCTTCTAATGGCACGACTTTAGGCATGGTGGTTCCATCACCTTCAGCCATGTCAACTTCTTTCTCACCAACTCTTTCCCATTCAAAACATTGGATCAATGAACCCAAGGTCAAGCCCACAACTCGTAGAGCCAAGCCAGCTCCAGGACATGCCCTTCTCCCTAATCCAAAAGGCATCAGCTTGTTTGATTCCCTCTCTCCATTTCCATACCTCTCAGGCTTAAAACTTGTCGGATCATCCCACAACGTCGGGTCCCTATGAATAGCCCATGCATTGATCAAAACGATCGTGTCACGTGGCACATCGTATCCGCATATCCTGCAATCAGTCGACGCCATGTGTGGGAGTAGGAGAGGAGCTGAAGGGTTCAACCGAAGGGTCTCAAAGATGATACTTTGAAGGTATTGTAGCTTGGAAACATCAGATTCATCAATCAAATTTTCTTGACCAATTTGACTATCCAGTTCGGTTCTAGCTTTCTTCAATACATCTGGGTTGTTAAGCAAATTGGACATTGCCCATTCCAATGTGACTGCTGATGTATCAGTTCCGGCAAGCAACATTACCTACAAAATATATAATTTCTACCTGTAAATTATATTCTCATAAAGATTAACATCTATGCACAAGTTAAAATAAAACACTTTCTTCAATGAATTCTATATTTCTTCTAGAGAAGACAATGCAAGAGAGAGGTCAACAAGTAACATAAAAGTCGTTGATATAAGCTCATTGTGTTTTTGTCAGAGCACCGACTTATCTTTCGTAGATAAGCCATCGTGTGGAGTCAGCCGTGGCACCTTCCAGTTAATACCGATCTTTCCACAAAATTTGGATTTTATGAATCATTGACTTGGACCGGTTCCAAAGTGGTCCACATATACAAACCACCGGCTTGGACCATGCCTATCATGAGTCATCATGAGCCGTAACTCATCCCTCACTGGCAAATTCCAGTGCGATTTGACTGGGAGGAAACCATTCTGAATATGTTAATATTTGCATGCACGTGCAATTTCCTAAACCAAATAAAACCTTTGCGAATCGATAATTAATACTACTAATTAAAAAACAAAAAATCTTTGGGCATCCATTAACTATTAGTTTTTTTTGTCGAGACCTGTTTTGATTTAATATAACCTTTCAATTTCATCCCAAAAAAGAAAATAATAACCTTGCAATCATGAGTAAGACACTAAAACATAAGTCTTATTAGCTAGTTGCGACTAGCTGAAATTTTAGTTTGTCCATGATAGAAAGTTAGTATGATTGAAGATTGTTGAGCAGTAGAAATCGTGTCGGACATATTTTATATTTTTGGCTTTTGGATGTTACCTATGCCCATCTACATTCACCGTCACTTGTCCGTTTTAATGAAAAAGAAAATTGGAGTGGGACAAAATTCTTAGCCTCAGGACTGAAAATAATTCAACCCAAATAAAGCTAATGTTTCAGTAGAAGCATCAAAATGTCCTTCCGTCGTTCACCAAAACAATTGAAAATATTATATGTAGAGCTCTCATCACGAAAATCCCATTACTAGTTTTGATTTTTTTTTTTTCCTTAGAGAAGGCTAAATTTAATTTCTGATTAGAGGTTGACATCCTAAAGGTAGAAAACAAGGGATTAACAAAATGTTCTTTGTAAAGGCAAAACTATATTTATTTTATCCCTAAATCCAAACACTATGGGGTTTTTTTATTAAACATTAAAATTAATATAACACTTTTGAGTATTTGATTTGTGTGATAAGTATATATATAACTCGCCAAAAAGTGGGATTGGAATCTCCTCTTTCTAAAATAAAAAACATAAGAATTTAAGGGAGTGGTCAAGGCTCTTACAAGAATTAGGCCTTTGATAAGTTGATCAGTATAGTAATCAGGCTCAGTTTGTTGCAAAGAAAGAAGATGATCAATCATAGTATTCCCTTGCCTCTTAGCTCGAACCTCGTCAGTCAACTTTTGCCAGAGCCGATCCATCCTCTCTCCAAGATTCATCAATTTTTTCAAGTAACTCCTTCCACCAATCCAATTCAAAATGGGCAAAAAATCCCCTGGATGGGCAACTCCTCCACTCGCAAAAGACTCCTCCATTAGCTCCCTAAATTCCTTTGCCTCTCCGTCGTCCGTTACACTGTCCCCACCATGGTACCTCTTCCCTGCTACCATTCTCATAATATTATTGAAAGTTAAGTCGACAAACAGAGATTTTAACTCCACCTTGATGAATTCTTGTCGACAGTTGCCATCACTCGATAGTTTCATCAACAGTCGCTTGACTTCATCTTTTCTAATGTTTAGAAAGGCGTTCAAGCGACTAGATGAGAAGATTTCGATGGCACTAATCCGACGAAGGTTGCGCCAATGATCACCGTAGGGTGAGCCAACGACCGTGCTCCAATTGTAGCCAAGGTACTTGCCTAGGAGTAACTTGGGGCGGTTAGCTAGAACGATATCGTTTTTGGTGAAGCATTCCTCGGCTGCTGTTGATGACGATACTACAACTACAAGGCGGGAGCCGAACCGAAGGGAGATAATAGGGCCATATTTTTGGGAAAGACCATGGTAAAAGCGATGGATGGGTCTTTTTATAAGGTGGAGGTGGCCGAGAAAAGGAAGAGAAGGTGGACTTGGAGGAAGGTTTTGTTTGGAAGTTTTGATTTGAAACAACAACTTGAAGCAAAAAAGAAGAAGGATAAGAGAAAGAGATGAGTAAAGGACAGTTGATTCTAGTTCCCTGTTTACAATTTTGCTAGTTTCTTTCTTGAGCTCAATATGAAGGGGAATTTTCTTTGGTAGTATGGAAGCAAATGAAAAGAGCTTGTTTGGTACATGTATATAGATAGAGCTTAAAACATGTTTCATGATTTATTGTAGAAATTAAGGAAGGGACATAAGATAGCTGTAGACATCTTATTTTGTTCTTGTAGTTTTATTAATAGATTAAAAAAATAAAAATAAATAAATAAATTAAAATTAAATTCAAAAATATTGATATAATATTTAATGAAAGATATTAGAGAATCATGACAGATATCTTAATGAAGGATAATAGGGATCACGACAAATATGCTCCTTGACTTAGTGATATAATTTTCTAATCTAATTCCCTTACTTTCCTTAATCATAAGACACTACAATCTTGATTTAAGCTTTACACTTTATTGTACAAATCGTTTTCTTTTTATGTTGACATTATGACTTGTACATAAATGGATGAATATTAATTGAATAAATCATTCAAGTGAGTATTCAAACTCCTCATGGTATTAGAGCTAGCCTTTTCAAGAATACATTTTTTTCTCACTATTGTTGATGATTATAATCGAGCAACATGGGTTTTTCTTATGACGCATAAATCAGAAACTAGAAATATTTTACTTTATTTCTTTCAGTGGGCCAGGACACAGTTTAATGCACAAATCAAGATATTGTGAATAGACAACGGTTTGGTATTTAAGCATGAAGATTTGGTGAATCATTATTTTGAGCATGGCATGAAAAGGCAAACTAGTTGCACAGCCAATCCTCAGCAAAATGGTGTGGTGGAATGCAAACATCGCCACCTTTTAGAAATAGTACGAACACTTCAATTTCAAGCCAACCTTCCCATCACTTTTTGGGGTGAATGTGTACTCACTCTAGCATTTTTGTCATGATCCCTATCATCTTTCATTATAATATCTATCATGATTCTCTGATATCCTTCATTCCCCAAGGGCTATACACAAATTGAAGGGGTGGATTTCCATGAAACCTTTGCTTCAGTTGCAAAATTGGTCACAGTACGTTGTCTTTTAGCTATCGTTGTAGTACCTTATTTGGAGTTACAGCAATTGGATGTCAACAATGCCTTTCTACATGGGGATTTAGAAGAAGAAGTCTACATGAAAATACTTCAAGGTGTTGCTAGAAAAAGGGAGCAGTGTGTTTGTCGACTCAAGAAAACTGTGTATGGACTTCGTCAAGCATCACAAAATTGGTATCAAAAGTTCACTAATTCCTTACTAACCATAGGATTTGTTCAATCGCATGCCAATCATTCTCTATTCATGTACTCTGCCAAGGAGTCATTTGTTGTAGGATTAATCTATGTTGATAACGTTATACTAACAGGGACTGATGCACTCAAGATTTCCTAACTAAAGGCTCACTTGAATCGTGAATTTCTTATTAAAGATTTGGGCAAGCTGAAATATTTTTCGAGCATTGAGGTGGCACATTCTTTATCCAGCAGTGTCTTGAGCCAATGGAAATAGGGGCTTGATATATTGGCAGATAGTGGCCTTACTAGTTGCAAGACCCACTTCATCACTTATGGACCAACAGGTCAAGCTCGATCCTAATGAAGGACCACTTTGCTCAGATCCAGGGCAGTACAGAAGGTTAATTGGAAGATTATTATAAGTCACCTCCACAAGACTTGATATTAGTTTTTTTTTCAACATAGCGTGTAATAACTTTTTTTTTCAACATAGCTTGTAACAACTTTTTTTAACCATGGTGTGTAACATATTTTTGTACATGACATGTAACAACAGTATTTTTTTTTAACATGGGATGTAACAACCTAACCATGGCGTGTAACATATTTTTGTACATGACATGTAACAACAGTATTTTTTTTTTAACATGGGGTGTAACAACCTAACCATGGTGTGTAACATGTATATACATGACGTGTAACAACTTAACCATGACGTGTCACACGTTTTTATACATAGCGTGTAACAACCTAATCATGGCATGTAACAACCTAACCATAGCGTGTCACGTATTTTTGTGCATGGCGTATAATAACTTAACCATGACGTGTAATATATTTCTATACACGGTGTGTAACATCCTGACGTGTAATTTTATTAAGGGTAATTTTATCCAACTTGATTAAAAATAGTTAAAATTATAAATGAGGCTATTTTTGAAAACATCTTATTTTTAAGGGTTATTTTTTAAAATACCCCTACTATATATTTAATGATCTTCAGCTATTTCAATAAAAAAGATTGCATTTTCTTAATTTTAAAAAAAAACCTTAATTGAATATTTAACTATAGGCCCTTGAGGTTAGTGAGCCATCCTTGATTTAATTTTTTGCATCAGACTTTGAAAATTATAGATTTTTGTTTATTGTCATCACGTACATGAAGCTATTGGCCATTGCCTTGGTTTTTGTTTTAATGGCCTCTAAAGTTCAAACAGGATTATAGATTTTCTAAAGTTCAAACAGGATTATGGATTTTTGTTTTTACTTAAATGGTTTCCTGCAGATTTTGATTTTATATGGTATCAAATTTAGATCATGTCATACATAAGTTTGGTATAGATCAGTCCGGTATGTTTTATGGTGTTTGGCGTCTGAGTATGATGTAATGTAACGCTATCTTTTGTGGGTAGCAGTGTTTATATTGGGCTATATGCTTTGTATCAATTTCTCCGTATGGCCATTTGTCTTGGCAGCTGATTTATCACTGTCCTATTGGCTTTTGGTCATGCCCTCGTTTTTCAGGGTGTTGATCGTCTTTGATGCTTGATAATAAATCAGTCTTGATTGAGAAAAAAAATCGGTTTCAATTGAAACTTGGGAATTGAATCCTCTGTTTATTACTGCTATAGTTAAACTTAGATTACTTCGATTGCTGTAAAGGATGTTGTTAATGTAGTAGTTATATTAACTTTTGTTAATTTAATTTTCATAATAATTGAATGATCAATGGGTTCAAAAATCAGGAAAAAACTTGATAACACCATCGTTGCTATTAGATTCAATTTAATGAGTCGAGAGAGGATTTTCCCTGAGTTCATCCCAACAAGTTTATTTTAGCGATGCTGGCACTTAATATATAACAATTATATACAATCCAAATCATCCAAAATATAATAATATCGACAATAAAATTGTACAATGCACTAATGGTGTCCTGCTACAAGATTATGTACACTAGCTAAGAATTCAAAGCCTATTTTTGCAATATGTTCACCATATTTATATCAAATAAACTAAACATTCTCCTTGTACAATACCTTATTCACGATAGGGCGAGCTTTACACATAGCCTCCAATGGCTGAGCTTTCGGCATGGTGGCATATCCCGTTTCCTCTCTCAGTCATGTCAACCTTGCCTTCATGCATTTCAACCCTTTGCGCCCAGCTTTACAATACGCATTCCGATAAGTCAATGATCCAGAGCTTAATGCCCACAGTCCAAATGCTGGCTAGGCTTGCTCCTGGACATGCCTCCTTCCCAGTCCAAATGACATGAGCTGTGTGTGATTCTCCTTTCTCGTTTTCGAACTCTCTCCGGCTTGAAACTTGTTGGATCATCCCATAGTTTTGATCCCTATGAATAGCCCATGCGTTGACCAGAACGATCGTGTCACGTGTACGATCGTATCACCTATTGTGCAATCACTGGATGCCATGTGGTGGAACCAGGAGAGGAGCTGCAGGGTATAATCGGAAGAGTTCGGATATGACGCTTTGAAGGTATTCAGTTTGGAAACATCGATCTGGCTCATCAATCAGTTTTCTTGGCCAATTTGACTGTCTATTTCAGCTCTAGCTTTCTTCACACTCTTCTGGGTGGTTAAGCAATTGCACATTGCCCACTTCTAATGTGACCGCAGATGTGTCTGTTCCTGCAAGTATCATCACTGCCCACAATAAAGTTTGTTTGTTAACATGCATGCCAATACAATAGAACAATAAGAACTAAGATAAGAAGTTTCATGTTTGAATAGTCGGAAAGGATGATGGTTGTTGTTACAAGCCCAATGGACTTTCAGCCGTACAAACAACGAAAACGAAAAGGACAAAAGAAAAAGATTCAAGTTCAATAACAATATGAGCCCTTTCAAAATGTCGTCAGTGTGATAATGAGGCTCGGATTCTTGCAAGGAAGAAGGTGAGCAATCATACTAGGATTTTCCTGCCTATTACTTCGGTGCTCATCAATCAACTTTTGAAAGAGCACGTCCATTCTCTTTCCATGCTCTTATCCTTCTTTTCATACCATTGACCGATCCAGTTCAACATCGGAAAGAAATCTGCTGGGTTTGCTGCTCCACCATTCCTAGATCGCTCTGCTATTAAGTCCCTAAACTCTTTTGCTTCTGCTTCATTTGTCACTTCATCTCCATAGTACCGCTTCCCTGTTACCATCCTGATGATGTTATTGAACGTCAACTCAGAAAGCATAGATTTCAGCTCCACTGTCGTGAAGTCTTGGCGCGAATCACGCGATGTTTGAGCAACAGCGCCGATTTCGTCTTTTCGAACACTTATTGTTTGTTTAGGCGACTTGATGAGAAATCAATGTACTGATTCGACGTAAGTTGCGCCAATGGTCACCATAAGGCGAGGCATAATTTGGTAGTAGTGTGAGCCTAGGTGCTTCCACCGGATTAACTTGGGGCGATTAGCCAAATAATGATCGTTCTTGGTGAAGCATTCCTCGGCTGCGGCAAAGATATACTACAACTGAAGTCGAGAGCCAAGCTGGGAGGGAGAAGATAGGACGTATTTTGGAAAGAGTGTGGTAGGAGCGATGGATGGGGGTTTTAGGAGGTGGAGGTGGCCAAGGATGGGAAGCGAAGTGGCTGGAGGGAGGTTTTTGTGGGATTTTTGGATTGAAAGAAAGAAGGTTAAAGAAATGAGGAGAAGACAGAAGAAAGAGAGGAGTAGAGAATTGTTGTTTCTCCATGTTTAATTTGCTTCTGCGAACTCTCTTCGACTTTAATTGATGATGGTTTTAATTTATATGCTGTGAAGAAATGAAATGGTTTTGTTTATATATATTATTGAGAGCGAGAGGTGTATCAAAGTGTTATCCAAGAAATAACTGCAAAAATCTGGAGCCATCTTTCATGCAGAATAAATATGGGT